CCCCACACCCCCTTTCCCAGTCCAGAGCCTGCCCCAACACCCCCCGAGCCCGGGGTGGGGAGGGAGAGGCCGCCCTGCCCCGTGTCCCCCCGCGCCGGCCCTTCTCAACTCTGTACCCTATTTCGGGAGCAGCGATCCCGCCCAGGTTTTACAGACAATTTGGGGTGGCTATTAAAGTTCAGGGCTTGGGTCTTTCGGGTGTGGGGTTTTTCCCCCCATAAGCCTTTCCATTGTGTGTGGGGGGGCAAAAAGGCAAAGGAGATATTAAAAACCAACAAACGGGGAAAGGAGCACAGTCAGTGGTTTAGAGAAAGCAACAGCACCTTCCGAGACTATTAAATGAACATCAAACAAGACCAGGATTAATCAGCGGATTCACAAAGCTCAAAGCTGGGGGAGGGAAGGGAGAAAAGAAAACCAAAACGAACAAAAAGGGGGGGGGGGGGGGGGCTGGGGGAGGAATAAATCCCCCCACAAAAGGGGAAATATAAAGGCTGCGAATTAATAACACAGAGAGAGCGAAGGTGGAGAGGGCTGCAGACCTGGCAAGGAGCGCACGTCCTCGTTTCGTCCATCAGCAGGAGTTATGGGCATAGCAGCGGGCAGGCTTGCACTGGCATTCAGAGAGTTAAAAGCATTGGCACTGAGAGGTGAGCGCTCTTCCCACTGCTCGTCATATTTACCCATTAGGGCTTTCCTAATTATTGCCTCCAACCCCATGTTGGTACTGGAATTCTCTTGGACCGACTGGCTCCTACAACTGATTAGCCCTGGGAGATACGGGAGGGGGAGGAGAGAGGGGACGGGAGATGGGGGGGGGCCACATGAGAAGAAAGATGGGGGGGGGCGGGGAAAGGGGAGAAAGGAGACAAGGGAGAAGGGAAGAAACAAACAGTCAGCACATTCTCGCAAAGCAACAAACTTTGTCATCTTGTTCTTTAAAGCGCTTTAAGGAGCCCGTCCTCCTCCTCCTCCTCCCCGCTCCATCCCGCCCCAGGGCTTGGCGGGGGCTGGCGGTGGGACGGGACGGGATGGGATGGGATTTACTCTGGGATTTGGGTTTCTGGAGTGCTGCAGGCAAGCAGGGTTACCTGGGGCCAAGGGCTCGGAGGATGGCGGGGGGTAAGGGGTTGTCTCTGAGCCCTGGGGAGCGGCTGCGAGAAGGGGAGGGCTGTGCTCCCTGCCCAGCCAAGGCTTGGCATGGGGGTGGGGGTCACCTGGATGTGGGGTCTATATGGATGCACACACAGATCAAAAGCTGGTGTGCCAGGAATTTGGAGGCCGGAGCAGTTTCCCATGGAGAAAAAGCCAGTGAAGGAAGAAGGGGCACCCCACAAAAAACACTTGATCGGAAAGAGGTGCCCAGATCTGGCCCTGGCATGAGAGGTGGCAAACGCAGGCAGCCCCCGGCTGAGCATCCTGCGCGGGGTTGGGCTACCCTGGGGAGCGGGCAGAGTCCTTTCATCCCTCCTCGCGCTCCCTGCAAGCCCCCTGCCCATCGCCCCCAGCCCGGTCCCTTCCTCCCACTCC